GCAGGGGCAGGGGGTGTGGGGTCCGGGGTGGAGGCAGGGGACAGAGCATCCCGGCTCACCATGATCACAGCCACCACAATGGCTGCAATGCCGATCAGGTACAGCTTCCCGGAGAAGAGGTCATCGATCTTCTGGTGACAGTCCTGTGGTGGTGACAAGGGGCGTGGTCGGCCCGCTGGCACTCGGCACAGGGTAGCTCTTGGTCGGAGCCACGGTCACACAGAAGTTAACCCAAAGTACAAGGCCGCTCTGGCTCCAACCACTTCCCTAAAGCTGAGGGCCACCAAAAGCCACCGCCAGCCTTGATCCCGAGTACGGGCAGCCACACGCCCACCTCTCTGGGCCTCAGACAGCTCATCTGAACGTTGTGGGCCATGGCGATGCCTCAGCACTGGGCTCTGCGACCTCAGAGAGCCCACCTGGGGCAGAGTCCTGTCCCCACTGGCCACCCCACAGCTGTCACCTCATACCTTGGAGAGGTTGGTGATGATGTTACTGCCCGTGGGGCACAGGTTGTTCTTGGTCAGCGAGGTGACCAGTGTGGCCAGTGCATTAGAGCCACAGCAGTTCAGCTGTGGAGAACGGGGCACTGCAGTCAGGCCGATGGGCCCCTCCCCACCACCCCACAGCCCCTCCTGCAGGGCCTCAGCCGCCCCCCTCACCCCCAGGCCCCCGACAGCCGCACCGTCTCATGGAAGGTCTTCACCACAGCCTTGGCGTTGCTGGCATCATCGTCCAGTACAGCCTGCTGGAGGGCCTGGTCATAGAACTGCTTTACATCCTTGGCAATCTGTGGGGAGGACACATGGACCGGGCATCATCTGAGCAGTGACCACCTGCTCAGGAGGAAAGGTGTTAGCGGGCCCCAATGCCGTCGCCTCCAGGAAGCCCGCCTGGACCTGGAGTCACCGGAGCAGAGGTCACGCCTTCCCACTGGGGTGAGGACCTCACCTGGACGCCCATCTCACCTGGTCCTTGTTGACAAAGCCCCAGATGCCAGCGGCCACTTCACAGGCAAACAGAATCACCAGGCAGGTGAAGAACTGGGGGGCAGAGGAAGTATCACGTTAGTCTGGAGGGCCAGGGGGCCGTTCCTACGGCAAACCACCACATAACTCTCAACCCGGGTCAGGGGCCAGACCCACACCCTTCCCGCCCGGCTCAGAGCTCTGGGGTGGGCTTGTCACTCAGGGCACTGGGCAGGAGCCCAGGATGGGGTGTCTGCAGGTGTCCTCCCCGTGACGCTGAGCCCTGGTGTGTCTGTCTCTCCCAGCATACAGCCCCAGCCTGACCAAACAGACAGGCTGGGGCTCCCTCCCTTTTGTGGTTGTGGCTTTTCTAAACAAAAACAAAGCAACTTTGGGGCTTACAAATCCGAACTGGAGATAATGGTTTCAAGTAAGAACCACTGGGGAAGCTGTTGTTTAGAGTTGGCCTGGGGTGCTCCAGCGGGCCAGCTCCCCCGCTCTCCTCACGGGCCTCCCTACCCTCACGCAGGACCAGCCGGATGCAGCCTTACCGTTCCCAGCAGGCACTGGGACTCCTGGATAGCTCCGTAGCAGCCCAGGAAGCCCACAAACATCATCACAGCACCCACAGCGATGAGGATGTAGATGCCTGCGGGTGGGAGTGAGCTGTCATGGACACTTTGTGCTCTGCCCACACCCACCCACCCCCAGCACCAGGGGACCCCTAGTTCCTGCAGGACAGATAGGAAAGGGCTGCTGGTAGTGAGGGCCTCTGGTTCCCCTTCCTGTGGAGGACCACGAGGACTATCCCAGTGTCCGTCCCCACCACTGGACCTCCAGCAGCTACCCCTCCCCCCAAGTCAGCAGCAACTCAGGCTGCCCTCCACACCGGGCTCCCCTAGCCGTGTCACCTGCTCTGTGCCAAGAGCGCACACCTGCGCTCTCCCCGTGGGAGCTGAGGGGAGATCCTAAAGCCCCCACCCCAACACTAGGGTGTTCAGCAAGATGCCCCACAACCACCCAGGCTCTCTGCAAGATACTAGTCAAGGGGCCACCTAAGGCCCCTCCCGAGATCTCCCCCCCCCACCTCCCAGCTCCAGTTGGACGCTCCTGTGGTGAGGCCAGGATCCAGCCTGGCCCTGCTCCCTGGGTGAGGTTAAGACCCTTGTCAGACTCCCATCTGCTCCCCGCCCTCCCCCACCTTCACCAGGGCTGGCAGCACTGAGCCATGGAGAGAGGGCTGGCCTGATGGGGCAGGAGCTGGTATCAAGCATGGGAGGGCCACTGTCCTGAAGCCGATGCAAGCAAGGCCCACTAGGAGAGGCAGCAGGGAAGAGGTCACCCCTGGGGAGAGCTGGGAATCTTGCGTGGGACATCCTACGGGACCAGCTGCTGGAAGTGCTCCGCTCGCCCGCCTGCCCTGGGGCCCTGGACTGCTAAGACAGACACTGGACCCTGTGCCTGGCCACTGAAGAGACCCATAGACAGGGCCCTGGAGGAAGGCGGGCAGGGGGTCCTGGGTGCCTGCAGGGTAGACGGAGGCCCTGGGCTGAGATCTCTAGACGAAGCCATTCTCACAGCTTGTGCCCTTACACGAGCCTCCCTTTAAAAGGCAGAGTCATCTCAAGCCATGCTTGTCCCGGAGTGCCAGCCCACCTTCCTACGGGAGCCCAGAGCGGGGTCCCCTCTAACTTCCCCCTCTCTGGGAGGGGCCCGCAGCTGCTGGCCTCTTGAGGCTGCAACAAGGTGCACAGGCTGATGAGTCACACCGGCCACCCTCCAACCCCCCAGCACAATTTTCCATCGGGACACCTGAGCACCAGCTGCTGGGAGCTGCCCAAGTGCCCCCCCAGCCCATCCCTGCCAGCCTCCTCCAAACACCAGTTTTAAATTAGCTTCTGGACCCACGCATGCCTCTCTTAACTGGGTGGGGTCCTGACAGGCCCCTCAAGTGGCACTGTCCAGCTGTTCCTAGGCCAGGCCAGGCCAGCCCAACCCGGAGCCAGGCTGTCTAATCTAGCCTCCCCACTCCACCTAACACCACTAGCCCCTACCGCTCTCCTTGAGGGGGAGGAAGGGGCCTCCTCCTCCAGGAAGCCCTCCCTGGCTGCTTGCAATGGGACATGGTGGTGCTGCCCTGGATGTGTGTGCGCACACATGCACACTCTTGCACTCACCCACATAGAAGGTGTTGGGTGCCGGCCGGTCTTCGAGCTCCAGGTAGAGGAGGTTGGTAGTCTGTGGGTCATGGCGGAGCCACAGTGCAACACCGAGGATGACACCTCCAGCCAGCTAGGAGAGAGTGGGGGCGTGAGGTCACTTGCAGCGCAGAGCACGCCACCAGGAGTACAAAGCTTGCTACACAGAGTATGTTTGTGACAAATATCTCTGCAGGCGGCCCAGCCCTCCACCCCCAGCCGGCAGCTCTATGTTCACAGGCCCACAGGGGTATGGGCCATTCACCGGCTCCCGGCCGGGGACCAGAAGTCAGCTTGCTGCCCGGGTTTCTGAGAGGCCGGGAAGGGTCTGGGTTAGATGCAACTGGGCATCTATCTGCAAGTTTCCAAGATCAGGTCATTATGCAAAATGGAGGGTAGCCTCATCAGATCCCAAATGGAAAATGACTACATAGTAATTGTTGTTGTTGTTGTTATGTGCCGTGGAGTTGCGACTCATAGCGACCTTGTACAGGGTTTCCAACGCTGTAAATCTTTACAGGAGCAGAAAGCCTCATCTTTCTCCCGCAGAACAGCTGGTAGTCTTGAACTGCTGACCAGGTAATTAGCAGCCCGATTCGTAACCGTTAAACTTCGCTGTGCCATAATCGCCAAACCACCGAGTCCTGGCCCTGCCTGGCATCAGTCAGCACCTCACTGTTGCTTCCCATCTTGGCCTTCAGTACCGCCAGACCTACATCCTCAATGTGCGATATCAGTGCACCGTTAAGTGCTATCTAGCTGCTTCGGACTCACAGTGACCCTGTGTACGGTTTCCGAGGAACGGCTGGCTGGTGAGCTTGAACCATCAACCTTGCAGTCCAGCGAATTAATAACACACAGCGCCACACCAGGGCTCCAAATGTCTTTGCTGTTGTCGTAAGTGGGAGCGGTCAGATGAGGTTGTTGGTAAGCAAGGAGTAAGTGGTTTGCTAAATCTGGGGATTTCAGGGATACCACCACCCTCTGCCAAGGGGGTGGCCATTGCACAGAAGCCTTGGGCTCCCCTGGGGGCTGCCCCGGGGCTGGGCCAACAGGCTGATGGGAGTGCGAGTGGGTGTGGTTACCAAGGCTGGGGTGTCCAGGAAGTGGCAGGGGAGAGAGCTCTGGCAGTTTGTGGGAGAAATCCCTGCATGTCATTAGCCTTGGACAGGAAACCCAGCTGTGGCCCTGAAGTCAGGCTTGGAGGAGGAGGAAGAGGGGCTGCTCAGCTGGGCAGGGGGGACGGCAGGGGGACCCTACACACACAGAGGATACAGGTGGTTCTTGGGAAGTCTACTTCTGAGCCTGTCACTGGACATGAACGCCAACTACCCACTGCAATCTGCCTTCCCACGTCACTGCTTGGTGCCCAGGGACCTGAATGAAAGACCATCCTGAGAATCACCTGGCCACAGGCTCCCTCACTAAGGGTTACAGTGAGACAGGGCCCAGGGGGGCTGTGTGTGGGGTTACAATGGGCATCAAGGTTGCCCCAAGGCAAGCCCCAGCTAATCTGGGGATACCCAAGTATGAGAGGCAGATGGGGAAGGCAGGATTGTGTGGGGGGCTGGGATGCCCCCCCTGCCCACCCCCCCAGGAACAGTTGGCTCCTAGCAGCAGCTGAGTTCTGCTTCTCCCTGCCCGCCCCCCATCCCTGATAGACGCCCTCCCACCCTCTCCCTCAACTGTTACGGGTCCACTCTTGAAGGACGCTGTGACTTTTCAGCCCCCATCTCAGCAAAGCCATTTCTGACAGCTTCCACTCAGTGGGTGGAGGGGCTCTGGTTTCGGGAGGGTGGACCCTCTGAGGGTCAGCGAGGAGCTGATGCACACAGCGCCCGCCCCCCGCGGCCATGCAACCCCCGTTCTCCTCTGCGGGTCGGGGAGGCCCTGGAGGCAGCCAGGGCAGTGGGCATGCCAGGGGAGGGCGGGCAGCTGAGCAGGCCCGGGAACGTCCCAGGAGTTGGCTGCCATCTGCGCTCACTTGCGGGAAGGAGGTGGCGCGCTGGGGGTTGCCTCGGCAACTCTGGCTTGAAAACGTCATTGATTTTGTTTTGAACTAAGGTCCCGAGGCAGCTTTGTGCCAGTTCCCAGGCAGTGGGGGAGGGGAGCCAGCCACAGCC